GAGATGCAGATTGTATCAAGTAAATACTTGTTTCTGTGACAAAGAGGCCTCAAAATTCAGCTGTTTGAAGTAGAGGGTTGTGGAAGAGTCAGGGAAGAATGAAGGAAAGGTTGGCGCCACCTATTACACTAACTGAATATAAATGGGGCCGATCAGACAGCTCAGTGGGCAAAGAGGCTCTGAGTTTGAGCTCTGGAACCCACTGATGGAAGGAGAGAGCTCACACCCACAAGTTGATCTCTGACTCCATGCAGAGAACAAGGGAGACAGAGAAGGACACACCCAAGGCAAGAAGTCAGGCAGCCACTAATCATCCAGACATGAGAAGCAGTGAAAGTGAGCTATACAGAATGAAAGAAAGGTAAATAAATAAATAATAAAAAACACCAACGGCAAAAAAAGAAACAGATTAAGTTAAAGGGGTAGCCAGAAATAAGCCTAAACTAGGCCAAGTAGTCATAACTGATAAGAAGTTTGTGTCATGATTTGGGTGCTGGTTGGTGACCCAAAAGAAAAAGCCTGATACAACTGGATTCCCAGGAAGTAGAATTAGCATGGTTGCAAGTCACTATTTGGGTGCTAGGACTTGAGCCCACATTGTCAGGAAAAGCAGCCAGTGGTCTTAACTTTGAACTGGCTCTCAGCCCCCTCAGCCATTTTAAACAATTGCTGTTTGTACCAATTAGCATTTAACTAATCTTTTAATATTTACTATCTATTAGCAGTTGGTGATGTGTACTGTTCTATTTATGTGTATATATAGCAGTTATATTTCCACTTAGATTATGAATAGTTCATTGTACTGATGACTAGTTTGACTAGAGCTTTCAGGATTGTATAATGTTCTGACATACTGCAGTGTTTATATCTGTAGAGTCAACTAGATGACTCAGTGTGTAGAGGTGACTGCACGCAAGCCTGATAAAACCCTAGTTCAATTCCCATATTTCACCAGGTGGCAGGAGAAAACTGATTCCTGAGAGCTTTCCTGTGGCCTCCATATGAGTACCATGGAATGAAAACCTCTGCACACCTCTGTACTCATATACACATGAACACACAAATTAATAAATACTATATTGTGATCTATATTGTCTACTTCATGTCTGCACAATAGTTGCATCTCACTTCTTTATCTGTGTGCTCCCTAGCTCTAGCACAGACCACCATAAACTAGGAAATATATATATAAATATATTCATATATATGAATGTTAGTAATGGAATTCAGAGAAGAATTGAGGGATGTTGAAGGCATTTGGGAGTATCAGAGCTGTAGGTAACAACAGAAAAAAGCAAAACTGTAAACAAATTCATTAATTTGACAATTACATGTTAATTATATACTCTTGGACCCCTATATGCCAGGAACTCACAGTCCATCAGAAAATAAGGAAACAATACCACACACATGCCTTTAGTTCCAGCAAAGCAGACTGAGGCAGGTGAATCTCTGTATGAGACCAGCCTGGTCTATATAGTTATAGTCTATAGAGTCCTAGGACTATATAATGAGACTCTGTCTCAAAATAAAACAAAATATATAAAAATATGTGGCCACAGCACTCGGGAGGCAGAGGCAGGCGGATCTATGTGAGTTCGAGACCAGCCTGGTCTACAGAGCTAGTTCCAGGACAGGCTCCAAAGCCACAGAGAAATCCTGTCTCGAAAAAAAAAAATATGTGGCCAGATATGGTGGCTTATGCTTATAATCTTAGCATTCAAAAAACAGAAACAAGAGAGTTATGAGCTATAGGCTAACCTGGGCTATATAGTGAAAACTTGTCTTGTAAAAGTAAAATTATTAAAAATAGCAGTATATATGGAAGCTGGGAGGGAGGATAGCATGATACAGCAGAAGGACATGTGGGGCTGTGGGAAGAGATAAGGCATGGTGGACAAAGTATAGATACCAGGGGGAAATGTTCAGTCTCAAGTTAATAGAGCTCCTGCCATCAAAAAAGAAAAGTAATACTGATACTTCCACATATTGGGCTGCTCCAGATTTTTTAAAGGACAACCTTTACAGAAAGACAAAACTCTTCTATCTCCCCATGCCAGTTCACATCTCACAGGCAGTGTTAATTTTATCCTTTCTGATTTCAGGTCTACTGGTGGTGTCTAATTCTAAAGAATATAACATTATTATTTATCAAGCTTAATGAAATATTTATTGAATTTACACTGAAAAATATGAGAACATATGTTATACTATCTACAATCCATCTCTCTCCCACTTATGTATTTTTTTATTGAAAATACATTTTTTCATAAAATATATTCTGATCATAGTTTCCCCTCCCTGAACTCCTTCCAGATACTCCCATTTCTCACTCACCCAACTTGACACTTTCTCTCTTTCTATGGGGAGAACAGGCAGACAAAAAAAAGCGAACAAACAGGAATGTTAAAAATAAGAGAAATAGGGCTGGAGAGATGGCTCAGTGGTTAAGAGCATTGCCTGCTCTTCCAAAGGTCCTGAGTTCAATTCCCGGCAACCACATGGTGGCTCACAACCATCTGTAATGAGGTCTGGTGCCCTCTTCTGGCCTGCAGACATACATACAGACAGAATATNAAAAAAAATAAGAGAAATAAGCTGGGCATAGCGGCACACAGCTTTGATCCCAGCACTTGGGAGGCAGAAGCAGGCGGATCTCTGAGTTCAAGGCCAGCCTTATCTACAGAGCAAGTTCTAGCAAGGACTACACAGTCTTGAACCCTGTCCCCCCCAAAAAAAAATCAAAATATACAACCAAAAGACCAATTACAAAAAAAAAAAAAAAGATGTTCAGGCAAAGTAGTATGAGAAAAAATGTCAACAGAAATGCCATTGAATTCATGCCCTGCCCTTACGTGTGGTTAACATACCCAGTAAAACGCCTTTGGAGAGAACTAGTTGTTCCTCTGCAAGCAGATGTCAATTGGAGATCACGTTTTGGTTAGGCATAGGAGATGGTGCCCACTTGCCCCTCTTGGGGCTGGGATCCCTTCTGGCTTGGCCCTGTGCATGCTGCCAGTCTTTGCAAGTTCCAATGTGTATTAGTCCTGTGGTGTCTATAAGATACTGTCTCCTTGGGACCATCCACCCCCTCTAGCCTTCTCTATCTATAGCTCCCTGAGTCCTAAGGGGAGGGGTTTGATGAAGCTATACCCTGTAACACGAAGGGACTGGGGGATGCTGGGAGAATCTGGTGGCCAGGTCTGCTTTGATATGTTAAATAAATATCTCAGTTAGTCATTTGTTCTGGGTTGAGAGTTTTCTAAGACTTTGCCACTATTCCTCAGGCCTCACCAATACAACCAGCCTTCAGAGATCTCTGTACTGGTTGGAAGGAATTTCTCTCTTTGTTTTTTTTTTTTTTTTTCATTTTGGTTTTAGTTTTTCAGGACAGGGTTTGTGTGTGTGTGTGTGTGTGTGTACCTTTGGCTGCCCTGGACCCAGCACTGTAGACCAGACTGGCCCTAAACTCACAGAGATCCACCTGTCTCTGCCTCCTGAGTGCTGGGATTAAAGGCATGAACAACCACAACTGGCTGCTTTTTTAATCATTGAAATTTTTAGTTCTTTTACTCCTCAAATTTCTGTCCTAGTTAGGGTTTCTATTGCTGTGATGAAACACCATGGACTGGTCCAGCAGGACACGAATGGGAGCACAGCACGAACCTGGAAGGGAGAGGAATGAAAGACACGAGAAACGGACAGCAGGTCTGTGTTCTCATCAAGCTGCCAACTTTATTTTTTCTCAGGAACATTATATATCAAAAAGACGGGGGGGGGGTAGTATGCTGGAATGTCAGGTCTGGAGACATCCCTAGCTGATAGGAAGAGATAAGGGGATGCTGAGGGTCTGTAAATGTTTATAGAGGAAATGATAATCACTTTCTGAGGCCTGGGGCCTGCTAAGTTTGCTGGAATTCTTAACTCACAGGGTAGATAAGGGTTGGGAACTTACCCTACAGAGGTGAATAGCTTACTTAACTTGTGAGCTAAGATGAGTATAACTAAATACAGGTCTTTGCTCCTAGCAGTCCTCCCTTTATATAAGGATTAGTATGAAAAGAGTTAGAGGTCATCTGGTAGATGAGCGGGCATTAACCGGGCGGGGGGTGGGCAGAGGCCCAGTCCTCCCATGTTTACTTCGTGGGGGAAATTTCCTTCAGCTTTTATGTCAATACTTCTGGACATCAACCTCTGTGCAATCAGGCATGTTCCTCAGGAGACCCAGAGACGGAATGCATGGTCCTCTCAACTGCTTGCCTCGAACCCCTTGTTAGTGCCCATGTCTATCGTGGACAGACACATATTTCTGGGTGTTCTGTGGCTCCTATAGGAGACTTGCTCTCAAGGGGCTCTTCTAGCCCTCGATCAGCCAGATCAAGCAGGTGATAGTGGACTTGAATGGGCTTGGAGGCCAGGGAGTCCACCTGTTGGCAAATAAACCCAGTGAGCCTATTGACGGCCCATGGTCCAAAAGCCATCAATAATAAAAATCCTAAAAGGGGTCTCAAAAGGGAGGGTAAGAGTGTGGTGACCCAGGGAGAGATGGAAAACCAGTTTTTAAACCATCCCTCCTCTTGCTCTCTTTGCATTCTTCTACACTCTAATCCTTTTCTGACCTTAGCCATACTGTCTCTAACTATTCCAGTGTGATCAGCATAGAAACAATATTTTTCTTTTAAGGCAGTGCAAAGGATCAAAATATAAAATTCTTAATTTATGATTTTTTAAAATGCTGGTGTACCCCCGGCGGGCTGCAGAGCAGCTGCTAGCCCAGCAAAGATGGTTGTGGGTCCCTGTAAGATCCCTGGGGGCCATATGAGCAGGTGACAAGCTCACAGAGCAGCGGGAGCCCGGCTGCTCGCTCCAAGGTCCCCGGTGGGGCAGGCTGCTTGCCATGCGGTGAGCCAGCAGAGACAACTCGTGGAGGGTCTGGGAGAAAGGAGACAGAGACATGGACACAACATGTTGAATATTTATTCGGGGGGGGGGGGTATGGAGGGGAAAGGGAGAAGTGTGGGGCAGAGAGAGAGAGAGAGGGAAAGAGAGAGGGGGACAGAGAGACAGAGAGACACACGCCCAGAGGGGACAGTAAGAGAGAATCCAAGATGGGGGGGGGAGTGGGCGTGGCTTGCCCCTTAAAGGGCCAAAAGAATAATATTCCCAGATCCTTTTTATAATAAAAAGCAGGAGATTAGACACCACAGTTTGACGGAATTGGGGCAGCAAATTCTCAAGACTGCTTCCGGCTGATTTGTGGGTGTCGTCTTTGGGGGGGAAACCTGAGAGAAGGCTGAGTGCTGGCCACATCTTGGCATAGCTGGTCTCTTTGCTCCCGACCGGGTGTCTGTGACATGGAAATGTCTGGTATCCCTTATCCTGTTTAAGGTATTGGCAGAACAAAGAACAAAGTTAAATTAAGGAAAAAAAAATTTGGGCCAGGGAATTGATGGGGGATCTGACCTGTTTAAGATCCTTTAATTCGGCTCCCTGGAACTCACAAGAACTCCTTGGGTTTGTGAAAACAGAAGTTTTAGACACATGGAAGGCAGCATAAGAGAGAAATTTGATTTGAAATTTATTTGGTGAAATAAGCTGGAAAAACCTCTCAGCTATCAAACTGTCAGAGATCTTTGAGAAAGATAAGATTTTACTTGAGTTACTGATTTTAAAAATGACAGAGAACTTACTTGGTTGGCACCCAGAGCTTCTCTTTTGGGTCCTCTATGGTCACTGAAGGTTGCACTTGACCTTTGCTGGTTAGCACCAGGCCTGCCACACTCTCGAAGACCCTGTGGGCTAAAAAAATCTGTAGGAAGACAGGCCTACCTTGACCTGAGCAGCTAGGCTGTCGATTCCAGCGATTCTGTCCACATCTAGAGGTTTTTAGTTTAGACGAAAGGCAGTTTTGCCCAATGGTCAGCACTCGGCAGTTGAAGCAAACTGCAGAAGGACGTTGTTCTGTGTGCGTGTCTTCTGTCTGGAGGAAGCAGAGTGTTGCTGCTAAGGAGCCAACCTGTCTCTTCTTGTTATGAAAAGTTTTTTAATAATTAAATACTTAGGGCTGGAGAGATGGCTCAGTGGTTAAGAGCATTGCCTGCTCTTCCAAAGGTCCTGAGTTCAATTCCCGGCAAGCACAGCCATCTGTAATGAGTTCTGATGCCCTCTTCTGACCTGCAGGCATACACGCAGACAGAATATTATGTATAGCTGCAGTATAGAATCTGTCTGGAAGGTTGCATCTGAGCTTTACTGTACTGGCTCTTAACAGGTAAGATTTACACTTGTAAAAAGACAGAAAGAAGAAAAAAACTGTTTGTAATATAAGGTTAATGGCAGAACTAACAACGGTAGAGAACAGCTTACTATATTTTTAAGAGACTTAAAAGTACATACCAGTTTAAAATATGAGACCTATGATTTTGTAATCTGAAATGAGATGTAATGAACAATTATTATACACAGAAAGAGTGAGCAGGAAGTGGGCAATGTGGATGTCTTTAATGGGCCCTATCAAAGGCATGCCATTGACCACCCACCTCCATCCAGGTCTCGTAAGGTGAGCATCCAAACAGCCTAGGCTCCCACAAAGCCAGTACGTGCAGTAGGATCAAAAACCCATTGCCATTGTTCGTGAGTTCTCAGTAGTCCTCATTGTCCACTATGTTCAGCGAGTCCGGTTTTATCCCAGGCTTTTTCAGACCCAGTCCAGCTGACCTTGGTGAGTTCCCGATAGAACATCCCCATTGTCTCAGTGTGTGGGTGCCAGTCTTCTCAGATTCTAAAAGACAGCAGGGCAAGCAAGCTATGAGGAGCAAGCCAGTAAGAAGCACTCCTCCCCGGCCTCTGCATCAGCTCCTGCCTCCCAGTTCCTGCTCTGCTCCCGGTCCTGAGTTCCTTGCTCGTGCTCTCTCTCCATCTGCTCCTGATTTGGATCTTGGGATTTTAGTCCGGTGCTCCAATGTGGGTCTCTGTCTCTGTCTCCTTTCACTGCCCAGGAACCCTGATTGCTCTTTGGGCTGACAAGGGAGGGGGAGGGAAATGGGAGGCAGTGGCAGGGAGGAGGCAGAAATCTTTAATAAATAAAAAAAGAAACTGAAAAAAATAAAAATAAAAAAGGCATGCCATTGCGCAAAACACATGTAACAGAGTTAACAAGAGGATTTCAGTAAACATGGGGGGGGGCAGGGTATACATAAGTAAAACTGGGAGAATGTGGTCATGTGACCTGGCTCTCAGCCAAGATGGTGGTAAAGTTACCTGACCCCAGAGAACATGGTGGCGACCACGTGTTGTGGGAAAAGTCACAATTTTTGAGCTGTAAGGATTTTAAGCTTAATAAGAGGGACCTAAAGGCGTGATCTGCTCTGTTGCTGAGCCTCCATGCCATAACACAAGCACGGGGGGGGGGGGGGGGGCAAAAGGCTGGAATGGAAAAGCCGGCTGGAATTTTAAAAGCCATGGAGCCGGTTGCTATCAAGAGCCAAAATCGTGAAAACCCGCAAAAACAGCGCGAACACCCAAGACTTGTAGATGAGTGTCCTCGAACTGCAAGTAGGCTGTTATGGCCTAGCTGGATTCCAGTGACCCAGAACCCAAAGTGGCTGGGGGGGGGGGGGGGCTGCTCCAAGCGGCGATCATGACAAGAGAAGATAAAAGGGAAAGAGAAGAAGTGGAAAAAAATGAAAAAGAGATAAAGAAACTGAGAACCCGGTCCCCAGTTGAATGCACTGCACAGGAAGTGTGCAGTGCTAACTGGGCAGACCGTCCCCCAGTGTGAGTCCAAACACGATTTGGGTAAAGGAAAGCAGTGGTAGCAGAACAGGGAGGGACTCGCCAATTGAAGCCACCTGGGAAGCTGGTGGTGGGAGTGGAAAAAGAACCCGGTTCAGGATATCCAAGTCACAGGATATCCGAGTGACAGGTCCTGTGATCAGGTACTCCTCTCTCTCTGTGGGGGCAGGGAAGACCGGACCTTGGACTTTTCTCCAACTCTTTCTCTAACTCCTCTATGGGGTGTTTGCAGCTATGATGCCATCAGGTCTGCCACTCCTTTACTGTATATGTAGTCATTGTTGTTCCTTTGGAAACTACAGCTCCCAGACTCCTCCTGGATTACCGATACCTGTGCACGCTGGCGTGCCCAGGTGCGGGTCATTTCTCCCAGATAACCTTGCGCTCCCCGTTAAAAAGCGAGCTTCCACGAGGTCTCGCCCTCTCTTGCCCCCACCCTTGTGTGTCTCACACACCCATCCCTTATCGTGTCTCCCTCCCCCATTAAAGTGCACCCACGTGGGAGCCGCGTGTCTTGTCTCTTCCTTTTGTGCGTGTCTCGTCTATCCTGTGTTCGTCTACACACCCCACCCCGCCGTTTTTAAAGGAATAATAGTCATCTCATCCAGCTTTATTTTCTTTCTGTGAAAAAAGAACATAAACACATCCTTGACCCAAAATATAGGCCAGGTCTTTTTATAATTCTTTGCAAGGGCTTTTGTACCTTGCCTTAGCAAAGGCTACCTTGGTGCCATCATGTCAGATCTGTCTGCAACTTTTATCCTCTTAAGTTGTTTTTAAGAAGCCAATGTCATGCTCCACAGTTTTTTTTTCATTGTTAACCATATATGCAGTCCTTCCATTGGAAGAGCCATTTGTAAAATTAAGCATAACATCCTTTAAGGGATCTTTAGCTATAACATTAGCAAAATATAGTTCTGTAAATCGCAGCAACGATCATCTGGAAAAAAATTATTATTATGGCCTTTAAATTGAGCAAATACAACTGTCGAAGAATCACTATCTTAAAATTTATCAATTAATCTATTACTTAGCATAGGAAACATTGATCATAGTTAATGCTCTGTTAAACCATCTCCTAGATCCCATCCTGCTCTTCTGTATTAGACAGGCTACTGGTTTAACTTAAGAGTTTAATATCCTAACTGGCAAAAATGAGAAGATGCAGCTATAAAAAGCATTCTGGGTTTTTGTTTTTCATAAAATTGCTGTAGAATAAGTTTTGTACTAAATACACACACTTGCTTAGCTGAATCATAATTAATACACTGTACTTGCTGGTTATCATATATTTTACCTGTTGATCTATACTCCACTTGCTTGAGTACCTGTTTGGCGGCTTTTATAACTCTCTACTGGAAATTGGCTCATTGCTCCCTTTAAGAATTTTATTTAGTGGCTTAAGGTCTCTCATAAGAATATTATAATTAAGGCTTTAACTATTGTATATCTAAATAAGAGTTTGTAAACTATCCTTCTCTTAGGTTGAAAGTCTGCCTAGCTGATAGGAAAATGGAAAAAGAAAGCATATTTAACTAATGATGCTGGCTTAATTAGACATCAACATGTAGAAGAATGAAAATAAATCCATATTTATCTCTATGCACAAAACTCAAGTTTAAATGAATCAAAGATCTCAACATAAAACTAACCATACTGAACCTCACAGAAGAAAAATTCAGAAGTACACTTTGGCACATCTCAAACACAGCCTCAGTGGCATAAACATTGAGAGAAACAATTAATAAATCAGATTTTTTTAATTGAGAAGTTTTTGTATAGCAAAGGATATGATCATAAGACATAATATCAGTCTATAGAATGGGAAAATATCTTTACTAATCACTAATCTACTCTTAAAAATGTCTGGCGGAAATGAGGAGAGAACACAAGACACGAACGAACCCACGTAGGAGTTTATTAAGAGGGCTTTGTGTTCGCGAGCTCAGGGAAACGTGTGGACAGAAAAGGAGAGGTAGGAATGGCACGTCCAGCCTTGAAAGACTTCCTAGCACATACACACGAGGGAAAAGACGTGCCCACGTCAGACGCTGATGACAGGCAACACGGGGGTACATGCTCCAGCTTCAGAACCCGGAAGTGCAGCCTTACAGGTGGCTAAAAGAATTACAACTCTAAAGCATACAAAGAACTCAGGAAATTAGTCATCAAAAGAACAAATAATCCAATAAAATTAAATGTTACAGACCTAAAGTGAAAACTCTCAACAGATGAATTTAAAATGACTGAAAGATGCTCAAAAAATGCTCAACATAACATCCTTTTCCATCAGAGAAATGCAAATCAAAACAACTATGAGAATCCATCTTATCCCTGTAAGAATGACCAAGATTAAAAACACTGCTGACCATTTATGCTTAGGAGAATGTGGGGTGAAGAAAAAACTCCTCCCCTGCTTGAAGTGTAAACTAGCAGAGCTGTTTTGGATCCTAGTATGGCAATTTCTCAAAATTAGGCAACCGTCTACCTTAAGACTCAGCAATACCACTTTTGGGTCTATACACAAAAGATACTTAACTATACCATAAGGACGTGTGCTTAACTATGTTCACAGTAGAATTGCTTTGTCATAGACAGAATCTGAAAACAATCCAAAATCCACCTCTTCTACACATATGATAAATGAAAGACAGCGTCCTTTACAATAGCTATAAATACCATAAAATATCTTGGAGAAAGTCCAACCACACAAATGGAAAAACCTGTATGATGAAAACTTTAGATCTTTCAAGAAAGAAATTTAAGATGTCAGAAAATGGAAAGATTTCTTATTCTCTTGGGAAAGCAGAACCAACGTAGCAAAAATAAAAACTTCACTGAAATCAATCTACAGATTTAATGTAAATGTTCATTAAAATTATAGCAAAATTCTTCTTCTTTTTTTTTTTTTTTTTTTTTTGTTTTTCGAGAAAGGGTTTCTCTGTGGCTTTTGAGCCTGTCCTGGAACTAGCTCTGTAGACCAGGCTGGTCTCGAACTCACTGAGATCTGCCTGCCTCTGCCTCCCGAGTGCTGGGCTTAAAGGCGTGCGCCACCATCGCCCGGCTTATAGCAAAATTTTTAACAGACCTCGAAAGAACAATCCTCAACTTTATAAGAAAGAGATAAAAACTCAGGATAGCCTGAACAATCTTAAAAATCATATACAATCAAGGAACCTCTGAAATGACTTTAAAACTTTCCTACAGAACCACAATCCATCTTGGATACAAATTTGCATGCCTACAAACAGCAGATTTTTGACAAAGAAGCAAAATTGTGAAATGAAAAATAAGCAGGTTAAAACCTGCTTATTTATTTATTTTTATGGTCCTAAAGATATAGTTCCCTGAGGATACCTTATTTGCAAACCTATTGTCCTGAAGTTGCACTCTCTGAGGCTACCTTATTGCAAACCTGCCTTTCAGCAACTCTGTGTTCTGATCAAGCTGCCAACTTTATTTTTTTCTCAGGAGCATTATATAGCAAAAAGACAGAGGGGGAGGATAGGATGCTGAAATGTCAGGTCTGGAGACATCCCTAGCTGATAGGAAGAGATAAGGGGATGCTGAGGGTCTGTAAATGTTTATAGAGGAAATGATAATCACTTTCTGAGGCCTGGGGCCTGCTAAGTTTGCTGGCATTCTTAACTCACAGGGTAGATAAGGGTTGGGAACTTACCCTACAGAGGTGAATAGCTTACTTAACTTGTGAGCTAAGATGAGTATAACTAAATACAGGTCTTTGCTTCCAGCACACCATGACCAAAGCAACTTTAGGAGAAAAGGGGTTATTTGGTTTATGCTTCCAAATTAGTGTTCATCATCAAAGGAAGTCAGGACAATCAAGCAGAGCAGGAACTGGGAGGCAGGAGCTGATGCAGAGGCCGGGGAGGAGTGCTTCTTACTGGCTTGCTTCTCATAGCTTGCTTGCCCTGCTGTCTTTTAGAATCTAAGAAGACTGGCACAGGGATGTACAATGTGCTGGGCCCTTCCCCA